CGGATATTCATATCATGTGCCGCCCTGGAAAGAGAGCAGCACCAGTGGCTGCGGAGGGAGTGGAGGAGGGAGCTCCAGTGCCTTCAGCCCCCCCCCCCCCCCTCCCATCCATTCGGAATATCTCAAAATTGTCAAATTTGCCAGAGATTCTCACAACCAGAGATGGGAAGATGGCATTTTCCTTACGGACGTGCCAGGGGGGTCTCAAGCGCCTTCATCCCTCCTCAATGTACGCCACTGGGTATGAACGTGTGTTCCATCGCCTATCGTGTTATCTGGGCCAGACAGGTTTTCTCCCTGGCAAAAGTTCAAGGGAGCAAAGGTTTACTCCCCCCCCACCCTTTCTCTCCATTGTTTCCCCTGTGCATGGTCCAAACGGTCACTTCTCATCCTGAATAGTACACTAAAAAGCCACAACCTTTAGGTACAAAAGCAATCGTGTAAAAGCAATAAAAAAAGAAATCGTGAGACCACGCCCATAAAGTAATTTTAAAACTCTTCATATTCACTGTATAATTTAAGCAGTGGGAAAGGTATATTTTCATTCGCATTAAAAAGTAGATTCTCCCATCCTTGAAAAACGATTCATACTTAGACCTCGCTGTTTTTGCAGAAATAACATTTCCGGCTTTTTAACGCTGGCTCGATGTGCTAAAATTTCGTTACTATTTTGGCATGAATACACTCAAATGGGCTGTACCATCTTCGCCCTTCAGAGAGACTCACCCCAGAACTACGATATTTCTCAAATAAAAAGTAGTAGAGATGCACAGGTCCGTCCCGCACAAGAGCCATTCGAATACTGAAAATACTGGAGGACAATCTGGAGCTCTGGAGACAAAGTTGTATGAAGATGGCGTGTAAACATAAGCCTCTTGGAGTGTGCTACTTCCACCACACCGATCCAAGGTTAAGTGCTGAGTGAAGTTATGAGTATATTATTTATGTCTTTAGAGGAGATTCTTATACGAAGTTCATGCCAACCGCATAGCATCTCATGACACAACGCAGTAGGTTTTGTCGTTCACGGGCGTCACGCTATGCCGTCTTAATCATCAAGAAGGTGCATCACATGGACAGCTAGGCAATGGGGAGTCCGTGCATTCCCTGTAACATCAAATATCCTTGATTGTTCCGCGATGGATGTTAGCCTTCTTTTGACATCTCTCATATCAACGGCGGCATGGATTGGAGGCGGAGAAGTGAACGTCGCCACGATAGGTTTCAACGACGCCCCTCTCTCTGCTCTCATTGGCTGAGCACGAGTTGCTTCTGTATGTTGAAACCGGCTGAACTCTTCTCACAGAGCCTAGAGCCCTGGTTTACATCGCACAAGGGCACTTGTGCTAGGTTATGATGCCATATGCTCTGCTATGCGGTTAGTATGAACGAGCCTATATCACTCGTAGTCCTGTTTTTTTTTTGGCTTAGGATCACGACTCTTTCCTAACCGAGAAAATAATTCCGACTGCAAAGCTTAACATCTTAACTAATATTTCGTCACTAAATGTATCAATGGTAGTTAAACCTCTATTGTTTCATCGTCTCACTCCAGTCTATTCCTCATGTTCCTCGCAGTCAAGAGAGGTTTCATTACATTCCCTACAGCTCAGGTCCTTCAGAAACCTTCGGATACTTAAGTGAATGCAGAACAGCAAGGAAATCCCCTTGACCGTGAGGAACGCGAAGAATTACCTGGGGTTGATGTGGAAGCGGAATTGGAGAGGAGGAATTGGATGAGGCGTACTAGAGAAGCGTTGCATTTCGCGACCAGTCGTGGTGTGGCTTGGTTTCTGATCAGACTGAGTATGTCTGGAAAACGCTCAATGGAACGTATCATAAAGATAGGAGAGGACTGCCAATCAAGTTGTCAGCTAATTGGGTATCATGTCCTTCCTAGCATGAAGTGAATGTGTTCGTGTTATTGAAGTCACATTTCAGCATGGTTTCATTCCAGCAATTCCAAGCAGCCCTGAGGAGATTGGTGTCGACGTCCCATGTTGGTCGGGGCAGAGCCATGACATGAATCCAATCGAACATGTTTGGGATTATATCGGTAACACGGTGACAAAGAAAGACTTTAGGAACAATCAAGATCTATTTGAAGCTGTTAACGACATCGGGATGATATTCAAATTGTTTATTGCTGTTCTTGATTGATAGTAAGCTGAGACGTGTGAAATCAATATGAGGGCTAAGGGGGGGGGGGGATTACCCGTTACTAGGCCATATTTCAAACATGCAGGCGTGCCCATGCACAGGATCACACAATTTCCAGGGATAAGCTCACGCCTCTTCACCCGGTTAGACCTGTGCAGTATTCCATAAAAATGACTTTAGCAGGACCTCAGTAAATAGGAGTCCGTACCGTCCAGGCGTGAGAAGTATCACGGTACCTTGCTTATCGAGTCAACATGTGGAAGGCACATATTTCGACAGTCCAAAAATCGATTAGCAGAATGTCGAATTCTCGAATTTTGAATGAATCATCATGTAAAAATCATATGTAGAATGCGAAGAACGATGAGCGGAACATTTATTATGTCTATTACTGATGAGAAGGAAGAAATAGCGTTGGGAAAACATCCTGCTTTTGGTGACGGTCAACATATATGAGTGGGTGCGTCACTTCGTGATGCACTTTTGGTGGTTCTTTGATCAGTTCCTTCCGTTCGGACCCTGCAACTAGTGTAGGCAAACTGCTGATATGAAACCCCGATACGAGTTCCCCTTTCTGTACTTTTCACGTGAATCCGCAGAAATATTCATACACTATCCACTCATACCGCAACACTTGTAAGAATACATGTATAGTATATTTTCAATGACCGTCAATCGATGCAACTGATTTCCATGATGTATAGAACCGTAAGGGATGCATTTTGTAGACTTGAAGAGTTTCGCAAGTGGAGGGAGTAGGCTGATTCGTTACTGAACGTGAACGGGTGTGGGGGGAGGGAGACAATTTGTGATATATTTTGTATCTAGATTTTACTTATTCGCCTTATAATTTCCCAATTTTCTCAGATTAGTTGATACCACTATGGATAACTGCGAAATATTGCATGAGAAGTGAGGAACTGGTGGCGTTGGTGGTTGTTGTGAAAGGGGGACAAAATGGGAAGTGGAGTGGGTGTGGGGGTGGAAGGCCTCGGCGTCCTGATCGAGACCATGGCTTCGATGGGATTGTCTCTTCATATCATCGTGCTTGTCTGAGACTTTCAAAACTTCACATTCATTTTTAATAAACTTTTTTCATAAATTGTATCTCGAAAACCTCATGTAAATTTCACCAGGATAGTGAGTTGTGGTGAAAACGAGGGCAGTTTCAGGCAGTAGCAACTCTGTATATGTTGAGGAAAGCTTTATGCTGACAGATACTTGGATGATGCGAACTGGGAGATTTAACCTTAACTATGATTTAAGCTTCAATTGCCCAGGGGTTTCCGCGTTCGAATCATCTATTCGTAGTAGGCGTAAACGCATCTTTCTATATTAATCTTGAACCCGAATTTTGAAGGAACTGTTTTTTCCCTGGTTTCGTGAGGTGGGTAGCGTAACATGACAGTAAACCACAATGGAGCTGTGGTAACTGCTGTGGTACACCTCAGCCCCATAACGGGGTCTTAAAAAATAGAAAAACTTACCGTACTCAGAATTCGAAAGATAACCCCAGAATACCTCGATGCGTCCTTACTTCCAGTAGTCGCAAACCGGAAAACAGGACCCAACAATTCTGTAGAAAGTAATAGAAGAGTCTCTCTTTTGCACTGGTCTTACTCATCGGGTCTCCGTAACTTTCTATCACGGTTAATCACTTATTGGAGATCATGATTGTTAGAGGTGACACGGGCAACCCGTAACCGTATACGAGGTGGAATGGGGATGTAACGCGCGGTCGTCTGGAGTGGTCTGTAGTACTATGCGTACGTCATGGTACCTTGATATCTACCTGTAAACTACCTTGACCGTCACGAAACAAAAAAAAAAAGAAATGTTAGAACTTGTCCCTTTGAGAAGGTTCGTATAGGTTTAGAAGGAATCAGTAGCCGTTAGGCAAGGATTCCAACAGACTGGGTTTCACACAGATTTTGCTTATTCTAATCTAAAATTTACAACAAAGAAACAGCACAACGTAAGTTCCAAAACATCAAGTTAGCAGAAGAATGTGCAGGACTTTTTAGCACAACTTCGCGAATGAACAGATTTCGCTCGAGTGAATAAGAAACCTTCTAAAAAAAAAAAAAGATTCAGCTCACCCTCGATGCAACACGTTTCGCGAGGTCTCGTGATTGGTGGCAATCACGTCTAAGGCAACGAAATCGGAAGGGGTTGCTCGGGCTCCAACCGTCCGCACGCCCACACTCCAATTTCGTCCTTGCTATTTCTAAGTGTTCCTCCCGGCTCCAACCAGCGCTTAGGTCCCTTGGTTCCAACCGAGTAGAAATAGCAAGGTTCGGTTTACAATAGAGGACCCTAACCCGGTGCCTGAGCAGCAGCAACGAAGTCTGGAACCCTTCACCAACCTCCGTCTCTCCCCTCTCTCCAAGTCGAGTTTACATAGTATTTTCCGTCTGTCCACGTCACGATAAACTCGGACGCTGAGTGGTCAGAAGGCTGGAAGGATGATACTAACAATGGATTCAAGAGATTTGGGGAATGTGGTTGACCCTTCATCCCTCCTGACAGCGGAATCGTGGCGAAGCCATATGTTACAAGAAGGCCACCCGTTTGTTCTCACTTGTTGCTGTCACAATTCTCCTTTGTTGAAGATTGTTAATGATAAAGGGATACGCGTGGAGAAGTAGTGATAAATTCCAATCCCTTCCAGGACTCTAGCCTGGCGCCGGATTGGAAGGCAATAAGTCATGGGGTGCACTACAGGGAAAATAAAAAGAAAGAGGGAGTTTTGTCGTAATTATGAAATGGGATGAAACAGCGATGCACAAGGCATTAACTTCAGTATTGGAAGTCAGTTTTTTAAATAAATCTTATTACCGATGAATGAAGTGAGATCAGAGTCACAATGGAACACGCGGCATTGAACAGATAAACACTATGAATAATGCATGGAATACATTTGTGTACGTGCTTGTGTTTTAGGTCTGGTTCCAGAATCGACGGGCCAAGTTGCGCAAACAGGAACGTCAGACTCAGAATGAGAATGAGAATCAGGAGCAGGAATGCCTGGACGCAGAGAAAACTCCATCGGCCGGAATGAACCGAGATTGGGATCGGGATGTCATTCCGATTGGGGATGGCTGTTCCTGCACGGGGATGGAGTTCTTGGATGACCTGACCTTTCACCAGCCTTGGGAGGTCAACCAGGACGAGAGCATTCCTAGTCTGGGCCCCATAACGAGTCCTGTGTATCTGGGCATGGACTTGGGACTGGAAGATATCCAGGCTCAACATTGATTATTTCATCTCTGATTGTTTACTTCATGTCTCTGCGATGTGGAACGTGGTGGATTGGCTTCGATCTAGCCTTGGACCCTCATTCTAAACATTTTTGCTTCACGATACAAAGACTGAGCTGTGATCAATCTGGCTTTATTCTGAGACAAATTTGCATTGCCTGGAATATCGAAAAGCAGACCAAGCAGAAGGCGGACATTTTTCTTTACAAACACATGAACCCAGAATGAATGACGGGCACGTGTGACTTGAACACAGCTGCGTCGATGGCTACGAGGAAAGAAAAATAGAAAGAACTGTACCCTTGGGAGTTCATGCATCACGACAACATCACACGCCGACGTGGCTGTATAAACAAGTATTTCGACCAGGGCTCTTCCCACCAACTGGATGCGTGTGTGTCTCTCGTCTTCGAATCACAATCGCCTCTTTCAGAACAGAGGTTGCTTAAAGTCTCAGAAAGTCAAAATCAAATCTAAATCGTTACAGAGGGGAATAGGGGGAAGGGGAAGATTTAAATAAGTAACTCAGGAAATTCCCGTCAGAGGCGTGTTCGAAGCCTGCGAATCAAAAGCGAACGAAAGACGGGAGAAAATATCGGACTCAGTGGAGGAACGAGAAAAGGCTCAATTGAGATCCCAAATCTCACTATCTCGTGAAATGACTAAGGATTTTTTTCATGATCAGAGAGACGCAGAATGACTTTAATAGGACTTGTCATCCTTGGGTGCTTTCTCGAGGGAGTATTCAGGCTCTGGTGCACTTGGATTCAAGGGAAGAAGTTCCAGGCTTTTTGGATCACTAGGACCCCTGTCCATGACAGAGGCCAGATCATCCACCAACTCTGCATACACGAAGGATTTGAAGTTCTTGCCAAGCTGGTAGAGAAGGAACCAGTCGCCGAACTGGCACTTCTCGTTGATAGCAGCAACTCGTCGCATGGGGATGGTTTTGGCCTTGCGGCGAAGGAGGTACTGTCGCAAATTCCCGCTCCAGATCGTTCCGATCCGGAATAGGAGCTGGAGACCAGTGAGGATGGCCAGAATGAGGAACCAGAACCACAGGAAGACGTAGATTTTCTCGTTGGCGATGTTCAGTGCAAGAACGCACAAGGAGTCGTGCTTCTGAATCGTCCCCGACGGTCCAAACGTGTGGAACGTGCACTTCGTTATCTACCGGGAAGCCAATCGATACAGTTACTTTATCGGTTCAAAATAAATTTTAAAAAAATTTTAAGGACATCTTGCAGGACGGCAAAGTTCATGATATAATAATCAACACCAGAAGCAAATTGAGTAGTAAAGAAAATAAATTGAGATAAAGACCTTGGGGAAGACTTCGGTGAGAGGATCAGTACGATTCTCCGGTCGATCGCGAAGATAACTGACGGCATCCAAGCCGTACGTGGTGAACTGATGCCCGAGGAACCGATCCGTGAAGAAGATGTTCCCAATCACGTTGACGAAGGTGAGGAATTCGCAGAGGACGAACTTGATCGCCCAGGCATTGTGAGAATGGAGGTGCTGGAGGAAGTAACTGGTGAGAGTCTTCTCCTTCTTCAGCCTCTCTTCCACCTTCATGGCCAAATCGAGGGACTTCATCCCCGTCGCTAGGACTTTCATCTTATTGTTGTCCCAACTCCTCCACATGTAATGGGGTATGTAGAAGAGAATGGCCTGGAGGAAAAGGACGAAGGGTACCCATTGGTAGTAGGCATGGAAGGTGATCTCATCTCCGGGTGTCACGGGTCCCAGGCCGGGGTAGGGCACATTTCGATCGACTTTACCCCTCCAGTACTGAGGAAGGGAAAATGTGCTCGAGATCCAGCAATACGTGTCGATCACGCCTTGTGGGATCTTCCCACCGTAGATGCATTGGATCGGCTTCCCTGCAATCAACACATTCCGAAATTGAATTCAGCACCTTCCTCTTTTTTATGAGATACCCTTCATTTCAAACTTCAAAATGGAGCTGGAATTTTATGAAAAAGTTGGACAATTTTAGCCCTTTTTCTGAGGATAAACAATTGTAATTAATTTCTGTATTTCCCCCCACCCCCTCCTTTCGGCAGGAAAGCCAAATGGATTAAAGTTCCCCAGTGAATGGTTTTTCTATTTACTTAACTGCAATCCGAACCATTCCACACTCCGACATAGAGCTCCTTTCATACTTCCGTTACCGACGGGGAAAAAATTAAAGTTCATGAGTGGATTGCATAAAACCGACTTTAGCGTAATAAAGCTTCAAACATCCTTTAGCAGTGCTAATGGAAGTTTAAAGCTTCATTACGCTAAAGTCAGTTTTATGCAATCCACCCCATGTTTTTGGAGGCAGAGAGCAATAGGGATGAGCTCCACTCCTTCAGTCAGCCTCCTGAGTCATCTGTTTGGAGTTCCATAGACATATAGCAAAAGAGGCATATTAGTCTAAATCCAATCCCCTTTGAGCCTCCTCTGCTTGCGGGCGATTTTCTTTACGACTCTCTTCGCTTGCTCCGTACGGAACATTTCCCCGTAGTAGAGGCGAATAACGACATGCAATAATGCAGGGGTGTCAAACTGGCAGCCAGTTCATTTTGTTCGGCCTGCGAAGTTCTCTTCGACAAATTACTGCAAATTTTGAAATTGAAAAAAAGCATTAAAAATGGGATGAGATTTGTTAAGTGAGGCCCCAACCGCCACCTGAATCAACCCATCCGATCCTCAGCCAAATCGAGTTTGACACCACTCCACCAATAATTCCCTCACTCCTTATTACGGACAATAATGGAGGACTAGATCAGCTTCAGGAATGGGTGAAATCTAAGGCTATTGGACGATAAAATAGAGCGAAATTTTTTCACATCCCGTGTAATTCATGCCCAACGCGAGCCGAGGAGATGACTCCATCCGTAAGTATTCCTGCATGTTCTACCCTCTCTTCGACTTCTTCGGTTTTCTCACAGCACTTCCATTGCTTCTAAATCAATCTGTGAAGTCCGTATGCATCGAGGGAAGATTTTTCTCAATCCGTCCCGTGAAAAATCCCAGGATACCACACTTTTCACATGTCCAGAACGATTCGTGCCCATTCTGCCTACAGATTCACTAACCTTTCCAAATCCCCAAAAGCCTTTCCCATTCTGCCTATTAACCATACACGGACCAGATTGTCCACCGTCTCACACCCAGATAGTTCCGTCCCAACCTCACCGTACTCTCCAATATGCTACAGGCGCATTGCACTCGAGTGGTTCTTTCAAATGTTACAAATCGAATCCTCGACAAGAATCCAGCGGTTATTTCTAATAGATGCCGGCCATAAGCGGTGAAAGGATTCGAATTACTTCAAGGTCGATGTGACGTCACCCTCTGATTGACTGAAGGAGAAATGTTGCCATCAACATCTTCGACGAAAAAAAATATTTATCATCCGTTTTGAATTTTGAAGGTATGGGGCGGTAAGGTGCGGTAATTGTGCATATCTTCGGCAATATGACGGGGGGGGGAGAATTTTTGGAGGTCTTCAGGGTGGGTCTTTTAAGCTTCCTGCTGACGCCGTCATTCATTTTTCGTGTGATGGGGAAGGGGAAGTCATTTATTTAATTAAAATAGACATCTGAATAGAGAATGGAAGCTTCAGCAACCCCATCTGACAAAAGTGTCTTCTCTTGCTAATCCACCAAATGTAGCTGAGCACCCGTCATGAAAATAGGGATGACGCTAGGATATCAGAGTCCTTTACAAGGTTTGAGCTTGAGCCGAGCATATTTCTGTGTGCACAATAATGTTTTCTGCTGTAATGGAGCGGGACAGTCAGAAAAACCTTTAAATTCACTTTAGTAGGATGAGAAGCATCCTTGGTCTCAAATCAGGAGAGGTGAATCACTTTCGAAAGCATAAAAAATCTGCCTATTCATCCGCTAAAAAGAGAACATATACGCACTTAACCCAAGACAATAATTTATCGCGCAGAATTGATACCGAGAGTACCTGCAGTAGTGCAGACTTCCGCCTCTCCAATAAATTGCGTCTTTTGCCAAGACCGAAGTCTTAGTAACAATTATTGCAATTGAGTATAGAGAGCGAATACTTTCGAGTGAGTTTAGTCACTCTTTCCCAAAATGGCTCGTAGTCCCAAGCTCTTATATGCTGCAAATTAGGCCTGGGAGCTCCATCAAGGAGTTCTCCAGCAGATTTTCCATTATGCCTCAAGCCTAGTGAAACACTGGCAGGCACATATAAATGGAGTTCGATGTCATATCTGGCAAAGTGACGCGCCTTGTTCCTTCGCAATAAGTAGATCGGTATTCAGCTTCATACGCAGCAAGAAACTACGACTTCACAGTATGTGAAACGAGATTCGGCAGATACGGGAAGCCACGATACGAAACAAGCTCCATCCCCTTGCTCCGCAGGGTACAAAAGAAAAATTGGTATTTCCAAGTGAGAGATGAAATGCAACCAAACGGGATATCCGGGGTTGTATGGCGGGGACTCAATAGCACAACTCGTGAGCTCTTCCCACCCCGATTGCCATCGGAGATGTCAGGACCAGGGACATTCACCCTCCACGGAGGTATTTCCCAGCCAACGTTAAAGCTCGAAGGTATATTTCGCTCGTTCTCAAATTATTCTTCTGTTCCTCGGGATAGATCTATGACAACAGGATCTCGCACATCAAAGTATTCAGGTTTGTATTTTGAGTCGATCAAAAATGGAATAGAACGATATCCAAGTACAAGATAATACACCATAAACAATAATAATACGTATAATTTTGTTGACAGGTTGCAATTCCAATCGCTTTTACACTATTAAGATGGTGCCCTGTATCAGACACAACGGAGGAAAACGACCAAATGGACGCGATTAGCCGCGAATTTTATTCGAATGTCACTAATTTCTTTCCTCAAAGGTCCGAAGCTAAGTCCTAGAAAACTATGGTCTTTGCAACTCGCTCAGTGGAGGCCATCTTGGTTCACATCCCTCAATTCCGATTGGTTCATCCTCTGCGCATTCGTACCGAAAAGAAGCAACGTGTTGGAAGGGCTTCCTGATTGAACGATCTAAGTCATACGAGTCGGATCATCCGATCAGCAGCGATGAGAAGCGGCAAAGTTAGGATCAACGGTTGTTCAGACATTGTATCTATGTTGGCTAGGCTGGTGTTGGTCTAGGACAAATGAAAGCTTCAGCAATTTCAGGCGTCAGTGGTGCAACCAGCGCTAACGTTTTTCTTTTGCAATACATTTTTTACCCTTACACTTATATTTTTGCTTGAAAGCAAGAGCATCGCAGCTTCCATACCACAGTTCATAGCTGAGAAGATCCCCATTTTTGCGTGCTTTTATTATGACAAACTCTTTGATGAAGTAATCTGCTTAATTGCCCTTGTTGTGAGGGAAATTTATGCATGGAATGCTCAAGGAAAAGAAGTTGAAATGGAAAGAGGCATTTTGCCACTAAAAAAAAAAAAACATTTCCCGTGAGCATTTGAAAAGGATTGTTGCTGTTGCTCTCTGCCTTCTAGGGACCAGTGCACCAGAGGAACAAATTTTCTCAGCAATGAAATGTGGAGCGATGAGAAATCTCAGCTGACGCCACAAACAATTAAGGTCTTGCCCTTTTCTAAAGTAAATATTGGTCTCAGCTGTAAAGAATTTCATGAGAAACTGAGCAAGGAGATGAATGTCTTAAACCCATTCTTCTAGTAAATATCAATACGATTCTGATGCATGTAAAGGCTCGATAAACCTTCTTCTTGATTGTTCTTGATTGAAATTTTATTTCCATTCTGGTGTCTCGGTTTTCCTGAAAAAAAAAAAACCTGGTCACCCAATACTACGGCGAGTAGACCTATGTGACTGCGTGACCTACAGCTTTCACCTCCCATCTTTGCCCCTTTCTAACCTTGCTCTCAGGTCGTTTGCTCATATCTTCCTGCGTCCACCACCCTCGGGGGAGAGGGAGGAACAGAGAGATACTATCATGAACAGGGGAGCGTATGAAGGAGGGGGGTCAGCCCTGAACCTCTCCCCCCCCCCCCCACCATCGGTGGTGCCAGTTCTCAGTGCTTTGTCTACGTGGTATCGGAGTAAAAAATCCCCAGCATTGCTACGAAATTTCAGTGTGAAAGAACCCTGGTGGCTCTCGATTGTGGAACAAACGTTCTTACAGATGCAGGGTAGACTTGCAGAAAGCCCAGTGCACGCCTACGCGTACATGACCTTTATTCGGGGCTGACTGGGACTCCGGGAAAAGCTGATAGGTTACATGCATATACGACGCAGAATAAGCTACACGGGGCAGGAGGCTCAATAGCCTATTGGTGTGCCCTCATACCAGAATACGATGTAACTTTAGCAATCTTGGGAGCAACTCTTTCTCCTGCCTAAAGCTCACCTGCCATCGGACAAAAAAAAAATTGTTTTGCTGTCATACCTGCGAGCACATGAAAACCACCCAAAAAGCAAAGAAAACTGCAATATCTGATTCAATGTTCTCATGCTTCTTGGCGGATTGCTACGTGTCAGAACTACTGAAAAAAGTTATAAATTAATAATGCACCATAAAAAAGAACTAAGCAGTATTGGAAACAGCGGGCTGGACGGACCCGTCTCATTTACTCTTGATAGATAGCTCAGTTGAAAATCCCGTTAAGAGTCCGAGTGTACTGTATACTGAATCAGGCGGCTGATTCAGTATACAGTACTGAAACATTTGAGCTTTCCAGTTATATAAGCTTGGGGAATGGGAACGCCATGCCGTTCCGGTCTGGACAGGTCTTCCCGGTGAATTTTTTTGTGTTGGAAGGAGGATTCATCAACGGTTTTATATCGATGCAGGGAGTCCCCGTTCAAAGGTCCAGCAAGGCATATTGGGCGGATGAAAGGATGCATGAAAGAAAAACGGGTGGAACGTTCTTTATCTAACCCTCAGCGCGGAGGATATTTGAGTAGTAAGGCATTTCGGCTCAAAGCCCCTTCATTTATGAGGCATCACGAACGGAACGAGAGGGAAAGCGACGCCACGAGGATTCTGATCTCGGCCTCCATAAATTCCAAGTATAAATCTCATCCCTGGGCGAATCGAAACTAGTGTTTTTGAAATGCGACACAATTTTATTCAAGTTATTTCACTTGAAATGGACAATGTATGTCCGTGGTCAAGTATGTTACATCTGTAGCATCCCAGAAAGACGATCGAGTTGCACGAAAGTTTGCCTGTTTCTCAAGGGAATGCTCGGTTCATGATATTCACCAGTCATAGATCTTCGATGGATCTACAAATGCTGGATATCACGGCCCACCACCGATCGATGGAAACGTTGAAAACGCCGTTAGCATCTTTATTCAGAGAGGAATACGTAAAACGGAAGGGGCGGGCGCTCCGTTCGGGCAAAACGACTGTCCGCCGGCGAACCAGTCCGGTTGGATCACTGAAGACCGACTGGACAAAAAAATGAGAAATATGGAAGAGAAGTGAATCGCGGAGATACGGAGGCATTCGCTTCTGCATTGACATCAGATCAAAAGAGTACATGTGGACATCCATTGGAAAATATCAGGAATGGGTTTGGATGTTCCGGTGAGTTCAAACAGGTCTTCGCAGAATGTTCTATTCATCCAGTCCAACTCGGCCAAAATTAGGTTCCTAGCTTCCTTTGGGAATGTCTATTTTTGTGGATCGCTCGCAATGGTATAAGCTTACTTTTCATTTCATTTCCCTCCAGTAAATTGATGTTGAATCCTCCAGCTAGAAGAAGGAATTTTTTTTATAGTGCGACAAACTTCTGACACTCGCTTTCCACTCTGTATAAATCCACCGGAATCGAGTTTTCTTCCTTTTTCTTACGCTTTGGATCGAGGTGACGTCATGAAGGTACATTTCTCTAACAATTACTTTTCGTTTGCAGTAAGAGACGTTCTTTCTAACAAGTGGAAGAGGTGGTAGAGATCTTTCTCCCATCCGGAGAACAGAACTATGAATTTTTCATTCTCGCTCTAGATTTGCATGTTCTCTATCTCGATGCGTTCCGCTTCTCGGTTCAGACGTGCCGAACTGAATGGATGGTTCGCTTTCGCGCAGAACGAGGCCCGCATTATGATTAGGGGGGAGCCTTTGGTGACTTTCGGTAACGCATTGGAAACCAGTCCGTGGATCGTATCTCGGGTCCCCTTTCTGCTGGTCTGTTTCGAAGCTATGACCTCTCTTCCAATATCTCAGAATCGGAATCACAAGGACGAATAAAAGTCTATACAAGTTGCACAACGCCTTTCGAAATCTGGTCCTAGATCAGATCTGTGATCGGGTCAAGTCTCAAATGAAATGCGGAGTCAAACTGAAGGATGTCTTCATTTTAAAGAAAGTTCTTATTAAAACCTACTTTGAAAGTAAAATGTTAAAACTTGCGGTTCTTTCACCTTCGGCGTGCGGAACGTGAATAGACCTCAACGACTACGAGCGAATCATCTGAACCACTTTTGAGGCGAGGCAAAAAAAAAGTTAGGCTTCCCGAGAACCAGGATGCTATCAACTCACAGGTTTGGTGATAAGAATCACAGGAGGACGTGATACAAAACGAAAGAGGTACAAGGCATCGAAAAGGGAGTCTTTGGGTTCCAAGGGATGTGTCATCATCTCGTCCCAACGATCGACGACATTCGAACCGGTTTCTTCCACTATTATTTACTTTTTTTCAAGCACCCCTAGGATCACTTAACATTTACCAGTGGAAGAAACGACGAAATGGAAAATGAGAGAAATATCCAGTCGAGGAAAGTTGCACAACCTGCGGACCGCAGACCCTCCCTTGTTTGTTTTTTGTAGCCCGATTTCCTTGTTTCTCTCCGCCTGCGTCCTCCGACATGACAGTCAGTTTGAGAGAGACGAGTCCAACCTACTCACGTTCCGAAAGGTCACTCCCCCTCCCCCTGCTCCACAAATGTCATGGCTTATTCTCTCCCGTGGACGCGTCTCTGTCTGTGACTGTGACTACCACAGCCCCATTAGGATCTTACTTCCGGGCCGCCAGACCTCTAGATCATCAGGTTAAGGGGCCTTCCCACACGTCGAGCATCCCTGGATTAAAGGAATAAGGAAGAAGTCCTTGGAGGGGGAACATACCGACGAATTGGTAGGAGCAGACGATGATGGAAGCAGCAAGGAGGATGGTGACGGTGAAGCGATAATGAAGACGGAAGACGAAAGTATCTGCCCTGGGAGATACTGTGAACTTCGCATAATGTGCAATCCCAGCGAATGCCGCGAGCATCTTTCACTCTCTCTCTCTCTTCTGCCAACGAGAGTTACCAAGGTGACGGGAACAGCGTTACACATACTTCCCTTCCATGCATGAATACATGAGCTGAACAAGATGACCCAAGGTATGAGGAATACTTGTTATTAAAATCCTATGCAACGAGAACTGCTCTTCTCGCTAGATCGTTCGTATCATATAATGTCCAGAAATACAGGATGACATGTAACGATTTAGCAATTGCGATAATTTGACGAAATGACGCCTAAACGAAACTGTCTGGTAGTTGGTCGTTACCATATACCTAAAATGTGTCGTAGTGGATAAAACACGCTGATATCTCTAAACTATTCTTAAATAATATGCAAGAGGTGAGCCTCCCCCTTTGCAGTAATTCGAAAACTAGTCAGGCTATTACTGCTCTGACACTGTACAGGTGTAACGAATGCATACAGGTGGTGTAACTCGCAACTCGAGTCCATATGCGATCTGGCATTAAAAATGTCTCATGCAGGAATGGCTCATGACAGAGTGGCGGAGGCTAGCGTTTTTCCTTCTCCAACGGCATTGAATGACGCCGAGAATTGCATTCATCATGGTGAGTCCGCAGAAAGGCAGAAGCCGATGAAGCAGTACTGTCGCATTCAGAAGGCTTTCGAGTCCAAGGACGCTTCAATGAGAAATTATGAGTCTTATCTCACGACCGCTGTGTTTAAAATGAAAAACTCCCAAGCGCGTGCAAAATGATACTTCTCCCTCCCGAACGACGGATAAAGTTACAGCCCTGTCAGCTTCGTCGCTGGCTGTACGCGGAGGCGCAGAATGTTAGCTCACCTCCAAACCGATGTTGATTTTTCCTCGAACTGGCGGGGATTTAAATTAATCGGAAGTTCGCTCCGGGATCGTCGTATTCAGGAACTTGGATTCGTCACGGGAACAAAATCATGTCTTGGATCAAGAGGAATTTGCGAAAGTCATCACGAGACAGCGAAGCACGGTTGAGAGGACTCCCAGGGAAAAGACCCCTCTTCCAACAAGCACTGCTCCCCTCGACACGCCACTGGGGAAGGGGGAGGGAGAACAATGACAACTGCTGCAGCCCGGCAGCCCCCCTACCCCCTGGCCCGGCCCGTCGGGGCTCCGTTGCACTAAATGCCCAGGGGTGGATGCGATTGGCCGGACCGCGGGAAGTCGGGGGACGCACGAGGAATCGGCTGCGGGGAACGAGCCACGAAGGCCTCGAAACCCAAGTTCCTCCATTGGCTACGAGACGCAAGAGACCAACAGGGGTAAACCGCTTCAGTCGGGCGTGAGGTTTGTTCGTGGAACACGGCCTTGTTTGTCGCGGATGAGGCTCTTGTCAGATTAAATGCCTTTTCTCTTCGCACGAAGCCATTGCCCTTCTTGGCTTTCCAGGTTCATGGAAGATCAGTCTCGCAGAAGCAATGTTCCAGTCGCGCGAGTTCCTTTACACCCCATCTCAGCGGTATTTCTTTACGCCAATATTTGGATGACGATCAATATTTGGATTATGAACCAATACATCCCCAAACCATTCGGGAAGTGAAAAGATCCACTACAGGATGGAGCGCCTTTGGGAAATTCTGTAACATCATGAAAAGTAGGATGCTTATGTTAAAACGGAAAGCCTTCAATCGATGCGTCCTCCCAGCAATAACTCATGGTAGTGAGACGTGGGCTCTGACCAAGAAACTCGTGATAAAATTGGAAGCTGCTCAACGAGGCATGGAACAATCTATGTTGAACGTGACGAAGACCGGATGAAGAACACCTGGATTAGGAAGCAGACTTAGCAAGAAGACGTCATTTTGAAGACAATGCGTGGAAAATGGCAGGGCATCTTGCCCGAAAACTAGATGGCAGATGGACCTAGATAATCACTGAAATGGAGTATCCAAGAAGAGCAACAAGGAACAGGGGAAGACAGAAGCTACGATGAAGAGATGAAATAGTCAAGATAGCGGGTGAAGTATGGTACAGAAAAGCGCAAGACAGAGTACTTTGGCGAGGGCTTCATCCAGCAGTGGATCGATAATGACTGATGATAACAATCACGAGGCTCCCCCTTCATTTTGCAGATTCACACCAGTTTCATGAAATAAAACCTTACTTCCCAAGACGACAAACTGAAACTTCCCATTCTTCATGCGGGAAAGGGGAAGGATAAAGGCCATAAAAGCAATAGTCCATATATTTATTCCATGCTCCATACAAAAGTTTCCCCACACACGAGGAGAACATAAAGAAAAAGACCTAGGAACAAAGAACGAGAAACACAATTCCAATTCCATCATAGAAAGAACTGAAGCAGTCACAGTATCAAACGTGTGATGAAATGGATGAAAAATATAAGCTGCCTAACAACCTGTTTTCATGCAAAAGTGGCTTTCTGTCTCTTTGTACTAGAAGGCATGAAAAGAAATTCCTTCAAACTGATATTCAGTGACAAGTTGGTTGCACAATTGAATTTTTATTAATTAGAGAACAGAAGGTTTATGCATGATGCAGCTAGTGCTTGGAAGCACATGAGATCGAAGAGCACACATCATGAAGCCAATATTTCCTTCCTGAAATTGATTCCTATGCAGAAGCTGTAAGAATGAACCACATGATTCACAAATCAACTTCTGCATATCATGAAATGAATGCGGTTGGCAAACAGCACACAAAATACAGAAAGTCAGAAAGCAGGATCATTTGAGCAAGACCCAACAAAAGACACTGAGAAAGAAAGTGAAAAGATAAAACACAAAGCCAACTTTGCTCTTTCTGCCTTTATAAAAATTCATAACACAAACTTAATACTGTTAGGAGGACTGCAACTCAACTAGGTGTACCGACATCAACACGGTACATTAAGAAATCAAGAAAAAGAAGAGGCAAAATGTCTGTTTCTGAATCACTTTCAGTTGCTTCAGCTACTCCACAAATAAACCAGCTATCAACCAAGTGTGACAGTGGGAAAAGAAGGAAGGCTTTCTGATGAATTTCGATGGACAGAGACTTCTCATCTCTGCTGAAGGTCAAAGCACTGCTCTGCCATGGATGCCACAGCCTATTATGACTGACCGTAGAAAGTCCTCTTGGATATAATTATCACTCAACAGAGTATATAGAGACAGAGAGCAGTCCCTCTCATCCCACTGCACAAGCTCTATGAACAAATATCAATGTACATCACATAATTTGCCCCCCAACTCTATGTACATGTGTCACAGCCATCTTGATTGGGTTGTGACTTGGTTTTCTTGATCTATAGAAAGGGTTAATCTGGATTTCAATCTTTCTCTCTCAAGCATCCACACACATACCATGGACAGGACTTGGGTTCCCAAGTGGAAAAAGTACTCACTTGCATTAGGAACTATAGTTTCGAATTCAGGCATCTGGTTGATTATCACGCCATGTGAAAGAAAGAGTGCAGCCAAATCAAGAGAGATCTGGCCAATCTGTGCTTTCATGTTGGCTAAAACCCAAAGACGGCTAAATGCAGGTCCTGGCAAATATGGCACCACGTGGACAAGATATACAGTAAGGAGGAAGTGGGACAAGGCAAGAACTCACTAACTGACTAGAAGTTAGGTGAACAACCTGAAGGTGAACTCAAGAGTGCTAGGAAACAAAGATGAACAATGATAAAAAGGGAATATTTAAGAAAATGATGAAGGGACATGTATAAGGAAATTTCCCATTACTTTTTGTCTCCAAATAATATCACTTGGGCCTAGAGGAATATTAATAAAGCAGTAGAACTTGTGAGTAGATCTCTTAGGTTACCTTCTGCAAAAATTCAGTAAAGTGAACAACCAAAGAACAAGACAAAGGGTGTGGAAAAAAGGAAGGGATGGGGGGAGGGGGGGCCCACATGCCAAATGATCATCACACACAGGTACCAAGGAATTTTGATTCACTTGTTTCCTTACTCTTCTTGACCCGCCAGAACAGGATTTGGCAAAACGATTCTCATTTTTAGCACTCTTCCAATATGGCACGCCACACCACTCTTGACTAGAAACTGACAGACAGTGGGTCTTGAAGCTGACTTCACGTGGAAGATTCATCCTGGTCCCGCTCTTTTGCACCATATGATGACTGTGGGTATGAGTTCACTTTGGAGTCCATTTCTGAATGGGATTCACCTTGTCCCTCATCAGGCTTAGTATCTGACACCCCTGTCTCACTGGTGGAACTTGCTTCTTGTGACCCTGAACTAGGCCAAACTGACTTCTGGTGCTCTGCTTGCTCATTTCGATACCAAGACTAAGGGATAAAAAATGTCAACATTTACTATGATACTAGAACAACAACAAAAAATGACACCAACAGCCAAAAATATAGTAAAGCTTTAAATGAAAGGTGAAACCATGCCACGGGGTGAGTGTGAGGTTAGAAGGGCAAAAAAAGAAAGAAGAAAGACCATACCCTCTCAATAACAGGTTGCTGGGGTCTGAGCTTCTCCTCATTCTGTGTCAGTATTGCCTTGTTTTGAACCCATGCCTGAAAGTCATCCAGTACCAGTGCATTGGTTAGAGAACACAAGCAGGTCATGCACTCATGTTCTAAGTGAGGAAAAGCTTTAGATACTCCAGTAATTTCCCAGCAGGAGAAACACTGAGCAAGGTATGGGGCATTTATGATTTGTACATGCAAGATTGAGGAGGATGCAAAAGAGATTTACTTTTGATTCAGAGCTGTAACTGGCACCACATGAAAATTCTATCTTGGGTTCAACTGTGCCATCATCCCCACTGCTCCCAGCATCGTTGCCTGATACTTTGTTGGAGCTGCTAGTGGGAGCTGTTGATGTTGAATCATCACCTGTTGATGCTCTCCACATAGCTAATTTTCGATGTTTTGCCCTCTCATTCTGGAACCATACCTGGAAGAACAGATGGATATACTTGAATGAAACTGCAATTGATGAAAATTAAAGAGCAAAACACAGTTCATGCACAAGGTTCAAATAGCCATGCAGCGGCCTATATCAAAGGTCAAAAAAGCAGGCAGACATGGCAGAAGAGTGAAGGTATACATTAAGAGAGACAAAGAGGACAGAGACTCTGCCTACCCCTTCAACTATGGACTGGTCTTGTGGGAGAGGAGGGAAAACGGAGAGAGACTTCTCCCGCTCCCGTGTTCGTTTATTCTGAAACCAGACCTGGAAAGGAGGAACCCGAGGCCCATTTTCAGACTGTACCAGGCCAGGCCCATGTCTGCTTATGTGTGCATTATTACAGGTAACTTAAAATATGCTTGAATTTCATCTACATTCTACAGAAGCGAAACTCAGGGTACAGTTGGCTGGGAGCCAGTCTACGGTTGAAGGGGGATTTATGTCAGACAAAAAGATGGACAGCAAGCACACATTCCCTGGACGAGGCATGGCATTGTAAATGAAGTAGGCCTAGCATTTCATAATAAAGCCTTTGGATCAGGCTAGTTAAGTTTTGAAAATTTGACAATATCCATTCATTATTTAAAAGAGAATAATTTATCCTTATATTTTTGCATGACAGTTGCACTTTCATGGAAGCATTAAAATGCATTAATGGTAGGTCTAATCATCATGTTAACCTCTTTTGACCCAGAAAAAATGAAACCCATAGGATTTGGCACATGTACATGCCTCCCAAGTCTTAGAAGGTTAAAGGGGAATGGAACTGTAAAATCAATCTAGAGTAATCAACAATGAATTTGCATCAATAGCAGAATGAAACAAGTATAGAAATTGACTCCAATAGAGCCTTCCTTCAAAGATAGGATGGCTTGTGATTACAAGAGAGAAACCATCAGCTGGTGATGTTATTATGCAGGAACACTTATCACCTTATGCAATCAGCTCCTTCACCTTTCTCCTGGTTTTTTTCTTCTGGGTACATTATACTCCATGTGCTTGTCAGATAGTAAGCTCTGCAGTGTCTTTAATGCGACAATAACACAATCTTAACCCTTTCTCACGTAGGGATATCCAAACATATAGAGAACATCAATGTAATATTTCACTGATGCTAGAGAAAGGGTTAGCTTCTTTAAAAGAAAAAGGTATAGGAGTGACCTGTCCAAAAATCTCCAATTAAAACACAGGAGTTGTAAGGTGGTCTTTTAGGGTCATATTTCACGGATTCTTCCCTCCCTCCCTCCCTCCCTCCTCCAGTTAGTAGTGTGTCAGAGAGGGAAACCATGTGGCTCAATCGTGTTGGGCATGCGTGCTTCTGCTTTCTGCCATTAGGTAATCATGAATTTAACAGTTGCATTCCCTTTGAAGTTATGGAAATGTTTATTCCAAAATCAAACAGCACTTTAAAAAATTTTCAATTCTTAACCAATTTAACAAGTAAAATACACAGAGGAGGAATTCACATGGAGGAGACAGTGAAGCCAATATCAATCAAAGATTTTATGAACAATTATTCCCAAGCTGAAGCAATATAAACTACTAAAGAACTGCTGTACTTGATCAGTTCCTCAATGAAGTATTGCATTACCTTACATTTCTTGCTGCACGCCAGCATATATTAAGCTTACCAGATTTTAATATATAAAAACATGAAACCAGCATGCTGGTTCAAAAGAAGGTAATCTGGCATGCCATATGACATCAGGAAAGTCATGGTTTTAATTTGTAACCGTGCAGAGATAAGAATGAATGAAAAAGTCTACATGGTAGTCAGGGAGTATAAGGGAGAGAGATGAGTTCATGTGAAAGAGAATAGAGCAAACTAACATTTGAAACTGACTGATACCAGCTGTAGAGCTTTAACTTTTTCTTTTGTGCTTTGCTACAACTGAGGAAAGGTACAAGTACATGACATTATTTAATTTGAGCATGGAAAAAATGTATCTTCCTATTCTTCTCCCATAAAAGCCTGTCATAGGGAAAGATTTCAGTGCTGGAAGCAAACCTCACATTTTTCAGCATGCAGGCTTACCACAGGTTAAAGTGACAGTTAAACATAAACAGGACAGTTCACTCATCTCACATGAGTTTTTTTCACTGGCCCACTGAAGGTTCTCAGATTAATTCCTTGAAGCTTTAACATGCATGTCCTAAATTAATTGTGACCAAATATACTTCAGAACAACACATACTCAAGACAACCAGATGTGCAAGCCAAAAGCACATTGTCTCATAGGAAGTGACTCCTCAGGGGAAATGACAAACCTTGATGACTCGCCGATCAAGACCAAGTCCTTGGGCAAGTCTAGTGATTTCACTGGAGTTTGGATTTGTATTGTACTTGTAGTAGGTTTTCAGGGTCATTAACTGGTGCTGATCAAAGACAGTGCGAGGTCGTCGTCCACTTGGGTGAAAAGACGATGGGCTTCGTCCTGATGCGCTTCCTGAAAATAAAGTTAAGACCATATAACCTAAACAATCAAACCAGAACATGCATCTATTCTGTGTTCTTGGAATGATCTTTCACAGGGTACTCCAGAACCATTGAAGGAGTTCAAATAATGTAACTCAAACCATGAGATTACAAGTCCTGATATTGTAACAAAAGCCCATTTTAGGAGACCGGTTCCTTTGCACAAGTACTCAACATCCACATCAATGACATCATTGCCAAGAGTGAGATGACAACTATGAACCATGTGGAAATAAACTTTGTACGTGGCTGGCAGAGTTTAAATCAGAAAATTGTGAGAAATGTAAGTTGTCAAGTTCTTAACAGAGTTCTGCCTAGTGATAACACTATCAGAATTTTGCCCATGTAGTTTGAAAACAGGGAGTGCCAACTGTGGGGATGAACCAGGTAGGTCTAGTTCACCTGCTAATATGATTTTGAGACACATTTGTAAGAAGTCCCTACAAGTTTTCCCCCCCCCCTGGCTGATGATACTCCTGTTTTTTTTTTTTTTAAGCCACTTATACTATATTCTGATAAGTGTTATTACCAGGTGAAGCTCTATGAGATACTTGATGAAACTCAAGATGTTCACAAATCACTACCAGAATTTGTTAGTGATTTGGCAGTCAATGCATGCATTGAGCTTTTTTCTTCATGGTTATCATTTCACTCATTGTGCTGATTGATGTAAATGACATGGATGGTAAATAAATCATATGAAATTGCCTGGAAAAAAGGAAAAAAATGGGCTTTCATTTGACACCAAATTCAGGATATATACAATTCATAAAAGTTCTTTCTTCTACAATAACTCTGGGAAACTGCATAATCCTTTTTGCCTTATCCACACAGTAACAACTGATTGAATTTTTAATAAAACAAAGCCTACCACCAATCTCTAGCTCCATAAAGAATTCAACTCCCATAAATCAAAAATCAGTTCTTTTTTTAAAATCATTTATGAGGGAAAAAAATTAGTAAGTAATGGCAAGGAAAACAAGGATGATCCCTATTTTCTAGGAGACAGTCGGCATCTAAATGCTTCCAAACTGATACAAAAATGGACTACTCAAAAAACATAAGTATATTTTTTCAAGGGGGAATAGGAATAGACCTCTCCACAACATCTAAGGTGAGGATGTAAGTTGGGACAATCTTGAAATATCTGACCATATTATTCTTAAAATTACTGTTATTGGCAGTTGCTGTCTCTACTATGTAAATTGATCTCCTATTCCATTCTCTATTTTACAGGTGAAGAATCCATCTCATTTCTCAACTGCCCTAGGCCTACATATATTCAGGCAATGCTCCCTTGTAGCAAAAAATAGAAATGGGGGGGTCCTGATCTCAACTGATAAATTCTCAATTTTAAAGCATCTACAAGATTAAATTATTAAATCATAGTCAAGAGCAGTGTAGAAAATATATATATTTTTCCTGTGAACCTGAGGCAACAAATCTGAATTTCCTGGGAAGGATAAGCAAGCAAGTTGGGTCAGTCCCAGCCTGAGTGTCTCCATTCCCATGAACCTCATTCACAGGTTTGCAAGGGTTTTCCTAAACTGGTCAAGAGGTTAGAAATATTTTTCTTATAGGAAAGCTCTAACTGGTCAATTCATCCTAATTGCTCTGCAATGCATCAGTTCAGTGCTCTTGTACCAATATCCATTGAGGGATACCAAGCAGGAGAGAAATACCTCAATATTGATCTTTACAACTACTTTATACAGGAGGTTGGTCAACAAAAGTCCACCCTTTTCAATTTAACCCATAATAATTGTGATGCAATCATTGAATAAGGAGGATGTATAATATCACTCACCTTGATCTAATTTATTACAAGGAAACAAGACAAATGGTTCCAAAACACTAAGGGTGGATTTTTGAACAGTGCACTATCTGATAATGCAGCTTTATTTACTGGATTTATAATGCATTTTCTCTGAAATAAAGTTGCATTATTGGATAGTTCTCTGTTCAAAAATCCACCCTAAATTTTAACAGTGAAAGGGTAAAAATTATAATGCAAACATAACTGAAATGTAGGCAAAGACAATCATCCTTAAATTACTTATTTTCCAATGAAGTTTCATGAAATCTTAGATAGCAAAAATCAAAAATTATATTAGCCTTGATATTACTCACAATTACTAAAGCAGTTATCAATGTGACCTCTTCTGCATCAACAACTGGCCAGTCTAAATTGCCAATGCTCGATCTCCAGTCTGCTTCTCATAGGACATTTTACTAACATATGAAAGAAAATTACGTGCACACAATGGTGATAGTCAACCCAGCACTGCAAAATGCTGTTGTTTGAAAAACACAGGTCATACTTCCTTGAAATAAATTGCATTTTTTGAGGAAGACTGGTACTGCTTGTCTATTCCATCAATTCTTATCCTCAAAATTGCATAAGTGAATCTTAATTAGTATAGACAGAGCTAATGAAAAGAGGCAAACTTCTTATTTTCCCCACCCTGTCCACAAGGTGCAGTCAATAATTTCCCAAACTTATTTTACACTCAGCAATGATTGCACTGATCCAATTCCTTCCAATGCACATTATGAGCAAACCATTTACCAACAAAGCAGTACCTCACAATGCCATATTGGCATTGCATCTGAGTCACAAGATGCATTCTGTAATTTTGAATCATATGCATTGAGTACATTGCAATGAGTTTAGCAACATTAGCAAATACCTCAAGCACCAAGCATTAGTGGTAAAACATTCAAAGTAACTGAACAGATGCAGCAAACATGTAGTAATCTTTTGAAGACAACCTCCACAGGGCTAATGAGGAGACAGATCAATCAATAACATGAAAAAGATGCTATCAATTGTGCAAGAAGACTGTCATCAGTTATTGATATGACCGCTGTCTGTGTAGGGATATCCTCCGAGACTTCATTCAATTTTAACTAAGCATCTTAACATACTATTGGCATCAAATCATTCTGAATTTAAACACCTCAAAAAAGGCCAGAAATAATATTTTGTTGATATCTGGGTTCATCTCTTCTTGAGTTCATTCCTGGCAAAAAAAAAGAACTCCAGTAACATTCACCTTATTAATTTGACTACTAATTTTTTGTAACTGACTGGAGAATCACCTCAAAGGATGTATTCAATTGGCCATGTGCAGTGCACAGCAGGAGACTCCAAAGAATGGTTTCAAGCTCTGCTTTGAACAGTTGCAATAATATGGGCAATTATGCATGGATGCAGAGGAGAATGCTTTGAAGGAGGAAATGCTTAAACCTATGAACTATTGTCAAGTAGTAAAATAAGCCACAGGAAAAATGAACTGAATCCTCATAAGAGAAAAAACCATGAGTGTCCATCCTTCTCAAATTACACAAGGAGTATTCAAGAATTGAATTGTTTTGAATGCAGATACATTTTCATAAATTTGAAGATGTCATCAATTATAACTACTATGTTTGTCTATATCAGTGGTATACAAACTCAGGTCCACGAAGGCCTCACAAGTCACTGATGACAAAATGTACTTTTCAGAAAATAAATCTTTTTACTGGTACCAGTAAGTCATATTTTTCTGCATATTCCTTGATCATGTCCAGATGAGACTCCCTGCTCAAAAAGTTACCACTGTGCAAAATACTTTTAATTAGGTTATAAACATCTACAGAAACTGCTCACAAGGGCAGATCTTTGTGACCAATATGACACTAAAAATCTGTTTTTCTTAACATTAATCTTTTGGGCTGGGGGTGTCGAACTGTTACCAAAAGACGATGCTCACTGAAAGTGGATCTGGACATTCCTGTAATCAGTGCTTCTTTAGGAGCACACCATGATGCTTCAAACTGAATAGAGGTTGGATAGATGATCTTATCTTGTCTTATATTTAATAATATTGACAAATGTTTAGTTTTAAATGAGGATCACTTATTCTTCCTTACCACATTGGTGTAACTGAATCAGTCTGACTGAATCACTTCAACCCACAAAGCTGCAATTGTCACTTTTCTCATATTATTCAAAACAAATTGATCATGGGGTTAATAGAGGTTGAATTGTGGATTCCTCTGATTCCACCAAGCTCAGTTTGACAAAAAATTGAGAATAAATTTAACCCTTTGAGGAGCAAGGTGGGGTAGAGAGATATCATGTTGGAGTGAATTAGGATGAACATTACAAAGAAACTTATACTTTTCTCATTTTAGGTTAGGGCAAATGGTACTTTGATTGAAAACTTGCTTTTACATGAAATTTGCCTTGACATTAAATTATTTCACTTATTTATTTTTTGCCAGGGTGGGATATTCACATACATATAAGTGCATGCTCTAGGAAGACCATCTATTTCCGCAAGTACATATACATGTGTACTCCTCAAAGGGTTATGGTAGCAACACACTCCATTGGAACTTGAAGTGGGCCTAATTGTGATAGAACCCAAAGGTGGTGAAACGGCACAAGCACACAGGGAATTGTTTTACAAGATCCAACACAATAAGGCTTAAACAATGTTAACAATTCCTTACACTGTTCCTCCAATTGAAAGATACTCTTTAACCCTCCATGTATTTTTGATTATCAATCATGCCAGACATTTCAGCCTTATTAGCAAATTAGGAATATTCCCAACTTAAAAATTCAACTTTAAATTTGGTGAGTTACTGTTCTTCCCACTTATTCCAAGAACTACTTATCAAACCTAACCTGATCGGCTGCATATCATTGTATATTAACTACCAGAAATCATGCATCAATATTACTAGAAAACCACCTAGTCATAAGCATTTCAACACAGTTGCATCTCCACTCTTAACTAAGAGAGAATTTGAACTTTGCAATTTCCACACATCACTTTTGATTCTCCATGGGCAGCCTTTAACCACAAGTTTAACTAAAACCACATTAGACTTACCAGGTTCAGAACCTGGAGTAAGGAGACCCTGAAAGGGCATTAAGGAGACAGGATGAGCTCCAGTGGGGGTTGTGGGGGGAATGCCTGCAGCAGCAGCAAGAGGCGAGTAAGCACTCGCCCCTCCACTGTTGCTATTGCTGTTGAAGAGATTGCTCATGTCTCGAGAGAGGTTCATGGGAGTGTTGTAGCCAACATTGAGCGCAGTTCCTCCACCATCACAATCCATTCTGCTGCTCCCTGCCTCACTGTCAGATTCCTCTCCTCCCTCTTTCTTTGGAGATATCTAGAAACAAGTTAAGTGCACTTGATTATCATCATTTAGCAGATCTAAACTAACTGAGCTATGGCAAGTGCTTCCAAGAGCTTCTCATCTATAAGGGTCACAGACAAAACAAGAAATTAAATTAGGTTGATAGTATCATGCAAAAGTATTTTGAATAGTCAGGAAACTATAGGAGCATGTCCTTGTCCACTCACCTCGCAAGAATAGTCAACTATCTCCAGAGGTCGGTCAGAGTCATTGGTGTTATTAGAGTCCAGGGACCGGGGAGTGCTTGGCTGTGAAGAGTCATGTGGAGCAGCTGTATGTGTAGAAGAGGAAGGTGTCACCGGTGTAAATGATGTGGATGCAGGAAAGGATCGGTGACTGCTCAACCCTTTTCCTGGCAAAATGCCTTTCAACTGCAATATAATAAGTCAACAGTTCATGATGGCTCTCATAGTTTCAATGGTGCAAAGACATAGATTGCAGTATGGCACTTCAAATGCCAAAATGTTGATTATGCTGACATTAACCTTTATCAATATCACAAAAAAGATGCATGTCCTTCACTGATGGCTCATGATCAGTAGCACTAGAAGTTTATCAATGGAGACTGGGTAAGCCTGGGCTCATCCTACTGCTACAGATCATGAGATGCCATTGGTACCCTATTTGATCTGGATAATGAAGTTCCTACTTGTATAGTTCTAGAAGGCTTACCTCAACAGTCTTATTTCCAGCTGCTGACCGTTCTTCAGCAAGGCCCTTTATGTGGAGAACATCTGCTGTTTTCAGAAAGTCTCCCAGGTCATCCTGGGAAACATCTACTTCTCCATGATATACAAAATGAAGAATGGATTGGAGGTGAGAGAACTTCATATCACAGAGAATGAGGATTGGGTGCTGGCAGGGATTACCCTGGAATGAAAAAAAGGTATGCATAATAAGGAACAACATTTATTTTGGTGAATTTAGCTAGACTTAACACATTTTCAGTTTCACTTTGTTTATTTTGAAATGGGAATTATTGAAGAATTGAGCCTAGAACTGGCATTTTAGGATAGACTGAGTCAATTAACCAGCAATGAAAATCATGTGAATCTGTGTGTATCCATTCTAATGAAAGAACCAAGGACAAAACAAATCCAAGAATTTACAAGATCAATCCTGTCACTGCAAAACTATGCATACAGAAATGTCATGCATTTCTGCATGCTTATGTTTTTACACATCACATTCAGTATGCTTAAATGGTGACCACCTGCCCAAAATAAAAAACCAGCTGGAAACAGTTACAATGTCTAGCTAGACTATAGCTGGGTTTGTGGACATGGGTCTATAGGAACATAATTCTGGACCCACATTGGTGCCCAGCTAGCCCAAACTGGCTAATTTTTTTTAGCCTGCTTAATTGAAGAAGATATTATTGGGTGTTTCCTGCTGCAATTCAGTCATGGAAGCAGATAGATAACAACTGTAAATTCTGAACCACTTCAGTTGAAACATCCTCAGAGAAAAATCCTGGCTAGAAACAGCTAACAAAGCCAGCTGGAAATTTCTAACAATGACCCTGCAATCAGCATTTTCCAACTGGAATGCATCTTAGCTTACTGCCATGGTTCAGCTGGAAATTTCCAGTTAGTAAATTAAATGGAGTTTAGGTTAAATAATGCTATGGATTTAGCTTGCTTCCTCATTAGCCTTGGCACAAACTGCTGCCAGACGTTACCAGCCTACAATCTGAGTATATATGCTCACGCTGTCGTAGAAAAGAACTTTGGCTCAGACCATCGACTGACAAGATGTTTGGCTTATGATAGACTGGATGGCCCCAAGGGCCATGCAAAGTCTATCACAAGCCAAACATCTTGTGCAAGTTTACTAAAGCTCTTCAGAAAGTCAGACCCTAGGCTTACCTTCAGCAGCTCCCGGAAATAGGGACTGCATGCCGAAAGGAGCATTTTGTGGGCTTTCAAACTCTTGCCTTCGCAGGCCAATGTGACGTCAACAAAGTCTTCATCTTTCATCAACGCCGAAAAGGCTGAGATGACGTTGGACTGATAATTGCTCCATCGGAGACAATACCGCTGTGTCTCTACCATGATATCTGCATGAATAAATAGGAGCCCTGGCTTCACCTCACAGGAAGTCAACGAGACGCGAGAGGCACCCAGGAGCCGAAGCAGAATGTAGCAGACTCCATGATGCATCCATAGATTGAGGACGCAGCCATAAACGAGCGCATGGGCCAATGGCGTGCCTCCCCGCCATTTCAGAAATTCCATTACAGCCGGTGCTTCATCAGTGTCATTTCCTCCAATAAGCTCTGTATATGAGGGTTGAGGGTTCATGAGAAGGAAAAAATCGATGCTGCTGAGGGCGATTCCCCACTCGCCCGTTTTCCGTTCTCCCATCTCCATTTACGACGGAAACTGCCTCATTCCGCTACTGCTTCAATTCCATATCTTAGATTCTCTCGGAAATGGAGGAAGGAGGAACCCATTCTTGCGAACAAAAAAAAGAGACGGAATTTGCAGAATCAAAAGCTCAAATATTCCTTGTTTCAGGGTCAAGCTGTCGGGTAGGTCTGCTACATCATGCGGGTCTTGAATAATTAATTTAAAGATTGCTTGAGGAATGACTCCTAAGAATTAAGAGATTTGAAACTTGTTCCAGTTGAAAAATCCTGGAATTTCTTATTGGTCACAACTGGATATTCCATTTGGAACCAGGTATAAACCAATCGTAATTTCAGCACTGTCCGACTGGGAAATCTCATATTGGTTGGAAATTGTTCGTAATCGCAGTTGAACCAAATTGGAATAACCAGAAATTCCAAAATCAAACATTTGCGTACTTAAACTTCCCATTGGCACTCACATGACATGACGTTCTCGGTGGGTATTTTGTACCTGTAATCTTTAGTCCTCAGAGGAGTTTAGATCCTTTTTCATCGTGCTTGTGAAGAAGATCATCTCCAAGTTTACCGCGAAATAAATGGCTTTAATTATATACTTGAAACCCGCAAACACGCAAACAGGCTATGAGATTCCGAAGATTGGGGGGAAAAATGTAAAGATTTAATGGGATCAAGCTATCCAAATAGCAAAAATGTCTGAAGGAAGTAATGAAAGTGTATTGAGAGTAAAGCGAGGGATCTTTACAAGGTGTATTGGATGCCTGCACACGTCCCCTACCGAAGGTGTCTTCACGTTTTAGTTGGAAACCTAAATCGGAACGTCAATTTCGCCAGTGCTGGAGTACCTTTCCTCGGGATGATTGGGAGTACTCCAGCAGTATGCACCACCTTCCTCAAATCATTCCTTTTGAGGCTTTCACTTCCGTCGAAAGACAAGAAACAATAGGTGATTTTTCCAGTCACACGGTTTACTTTAATTTTCCAACACTGCGTGTTCAGGATGGCCTCTCAGATGACCTCTCACAAAACGGCAGTTCAGTTACAGTAACAACAATGATCTGAAGTGCCATTGTGCTCAACTGACAGCCCTCACAACGAAATCCCATCTGCAGTTGCAAAGAATGCAAAATCAGAACGGAAATTGATTCTCCTGTATAACTCTTTTGAGAGGAAATAGAAGCACATTCGGTCCGAGGAGAAAAGTATTGGTCCCTCAACGTCCTCCTCCCCCAAGTTTCAGGATGTCACTAATACTGAATCGCATCCAGCTAACTTGGCGAATATCAGGATAATGTGGAATACGAAGGGTGATCCAAAAGTTTCGAGACTGGTTCTGTAACTCCTTTATTCTTTGACCGAAGGAATCACTTCTGGTAAATATCTTGTGTTGCGTCTTAGGGGCGCAAGGGAAAAAATGTATTACATTGTATTCGGATTGAATTAGTCCCACCCCGTATAGTGGAGAACGAAGAAAGCACTGTTTCAAGAGGATTCGCTTCATCAGATGATCCACAAACCTAGTGGAAGGGGTAACTACCTGCAATCGATGAAAGAGCTCCTGGGTGGGAGGGGACTACGAATTCAATCCGATAACAGTGGACTGTTTTCACTTGATTTCATTCAGAATTTTTTTCCCACAGACACTTGAGGAATCTAATGAAAACAATTGGAAATTAAGTGTGCCGTGCCATTTTTATTTTAATTTATAAAATGTGATAAAGAAACTTGTGGTACACTTAAAAAAATAATGGTTCAGGAACTCTTCAATGATTCTACACCCTTGAAAAGGTTACAGATACTGTAGAACCATATGAATTAGGTCCAGCACAGATGAAGAACCATGTGAAACTCCATCGCTGCTTGAAGAACCTCTGGAATCGCCCACTGGTTCTAGGTACAACCATTTCTTGTGCTTTCTCAAAATTGTTCGAATACGAATCCCTTCAGGGCTTGATGCGTAATACTTTTTTTCATCATTCACTCAGAGCTCCTCCCCTCCCACCGGCCTTGGTACTTCCTTTCTACAACCCTGCCTGCCTTGCCTTAATGCGCCACTTCTTGTATCTTGAGTCCTGTTTCCGGTTATATCCCTTCGTGAAGCCTGAATTGAAGGCGACCCCTGTTTCGATTAGTTACAATTCTCGCTCCTTGCCTTGTCCAGTATTCGCCTTGACTTCGGAAGCTCCCCATCCCTCCTACGTTGATTGATGCGACATCAAGTTTTGGACTTGGGTATATGGAATTATCTATCCTTTTGGACTAAGGAATTTTCGTAATTTTGAGAGGTGATTGTGAAGGAAGACAAACACTTCTTCCCAAGTTTGGGAAGATTCATGAGAGATGAAATGTGATATGGAAATGCTAATGCACATGCTGAAGAAATAAAGGGAAATGGACATTGACGTGAATGAATGAATTTCACTTTCAGATTTTCAGTCTATACAGCACCCCTTGGTTTCATTTAAAGACATTAAAATTTGCATTTGTCCCTGTTACTTATTTGAATCCAGCAAACTCCATGAGTTGACAATGCACCTTCCTAATCCTAATATTTCGGCAGTGCCGAAAGGCAACTTTTTCGAGCGGACTCTTTCTTAAGAGAAAGTGCCTAATAGCACCTTCAAATGTGTGCTGCATTGAGTGATGGTTCTGAGTGGAACCGAGTCAGTCACAGAGGGTTTTAAGTGACACCTTCTTTAAAGGTGCTACGTGTAACCTTCGTAAGTGGTTCTCATATAGAATCATTAAATGGTTCCAAGAACATTTCACCCTAGAACCAATAAACAGTTCTAGGGAGAACCATTTATTTTTTTTTACAGTGTATGTTGGGTGATCTGTTTTTGGCGCAGATCCTGCGATTTCTGAATGATATTCAACTGACACAAACGATTCATTGAAAGCAGGTCATCGGAGACGACTCAAAGTCGGGTCGGCCATCAATATCAGTTGAAGAGAGGAAGAGGAAGTGCGAGATATCCTGAACATTTTTTTTTTTTTAAGAGAGTTCAGAAAGAGACTATTCAAGAATTTTTCGGGAACATGAATTTATATTACCTTATCAATAAGGCTATTTCCATCAGGTTCCATTCCTCAGCTTGTGTTGATCGTTCCAACTTTGAGTCATCCCCGTTAAGGGGCTTGCTTTCTGTGAATCGTTTGCACCAGTCGAATGCTTTCTATGTTTCTGGACATGGTACATTAGCTCACTTCCACGCAAAGCACCGCAAAACACACTCCGAATCTGTTGTTGGCTCAAGAGATTCCGTTTTCGCCTTCGCCAATCGTCGAAGAATCTCGTCAAAATAATCCTACTTTCCCTCGGACTGGATGTGATTCCCCTCTCCCTTAAGTATTTCACTGGAGTATCAATATCCGTTCTGCTTTCTGTCCGTTCTGCATGATTTCGATTGAATATAAAAAGCCAATACGAAGCTGTCTCCAAATCAGCATCATTTTTGAAACATCTCACTTCAAGAACAGCCGCTCATCTAACGACAAGACTGGTTAAACACACTTTTTGTGCTTCACGCTTGCATTAATACGCAATGAATTCTTATTCATTTTGAAGACCATGAGTCGATCTCCGATTTTTCCATCCACGAGCCGCTATGGCAAAGCAGGCTGTTCCAAATAGGTCCAATTTTTTAAATTATTATTTATTAGTTGCTCCCATTTCCTTATCACCCTCAGTGGCGTAGGCAGAAAATCTGCAAGGGGTTGAGGCCAGGTAGACACCCTAACCCTTCGCCTAACCCTTAACCGCTCGGAATTCACCTTTTTGAAGAAATCATGGTCTGGCATCTTGGGTCTGTGGATGGACATTGGACTTTTCCTGACCCCCCTAACCCCCCCCCCCCCTTCCCTACGTCACTGATCACCCTCTTTTCACGTTTCGATATGAAGCGACTGAGTTCAAAGTTTTCTAGTTACAGCTGATGCTCGATCTAACGAACTCGAAGGGACATCGACGCATTTGCAGCAACAGCTTCTAATGCTTGTCTGACGCAAGATGCTTCTTTACTTTTCTTAAAATCGACCTCCGTGTGCTATTGAAAAGTCAGACTTGCAGGCAGGGTCGGACTGGTCTACCGGGATATTTCCTGGGATGCCCCCCCAGATCAAAGACCCCCTCCTCTCTGCTTTTGGGAAGGGGGTCTGGGGCCTTGGCTCCCCGTTCCCTCTCCCGTTTTGAGGGGGGGGGGGGGGCCCAGATCGCCATTCTAACCCTGCCTGCAGGTTTCCCGGACTGGTTCTGCTGGTCTCACATCACATAACGCATGGGCCCAACATTAAAGAGGGTTGTAGTGTAACTCTGTCTGTGTCCAAAGACGTTCATCGCTTATTGATATCGTATTTGGTTCTCGAGTTACTAATTCTTTTGTGAAGTCATTTAGTGTGTTTCGTCGCATTTCAATAATGGCTACTGTTGAAGAGCAACGTGTGTGCATTAAATTTTGCGTTAAGCTGGGAAAGACTGCTTCTGAAACCCATGCCATACTGAACACAACATTCGGCAATGACACCTTAAGTCGGACAACCACTTGATTGGCACAAGCGTTTTAAGGAAGGCCGAACTTTCGACGGAGGACAATGCAACAGCAGGACGACCTTCCACTTCAAGGACTGATGAGACTGTTGCTCGTGTTCGTGAAATGATTCGAGATAAACGTAGGCTGACGATAAGGGTGGTCGCAGACGAAATAGACATTTCGATAGGATCATGCCACACGATACTCACAGAGAACTTGGGGATGCGTCGTGTGTCAGCCAAGTTCATGCCGCTCCTCTTGACTGCCGAGCAGAAAGAGCAACGTGTATATGTGTCCCAAGACCTTCAACGCGCTAATGTCGATGAAGATTTTCTCACAAACGTCGTTACGGGTGACGAGACGAGGGTGTACGGGTAT